GGAGATACACGTGGATATATGATGAGATACGGAGCGCCCACGATGTGTTCACGACAACGTCCGTGTGAAGCGTGAAATCTCTGTGTGAGAGAGCCCCGTACTGGGTTGGCTAGTTCCAATTCACTCTGACACGCTAATCTTGAAAACGCGTCCAACGGAGCTCCGTGTTGCTCCCAGCGGAATCCCCCGCGCGTCCTGCGGCCATGGCCGATGATACTAGTATGAGAGGTCATCTGGCTACCGCGAGCGCGACTCAACTCGTCGACATCGTCCGATGATGGTGCCGCAAAGTCAGCCGTCGGAGGCTATCGTGGGGTCGAGCCGGCAGTAGCCGTGACATGTGGTTCCACCACCCCTCGCAGGCTTTGCCTCTGACCGCCACCGTTCCCAGGCTGCCTAATGGGATGGAAAGGAAGGCTGGGCGAGCGTATAGAAGCGTGCTCGACCTCGTCGTGGCAACCTGCACGGCAGCGCTGGCAGGCGCGATGAGCGTCGTGCCACCTGACCCAAGACGGGTCGCAGGCGTCGTACCGAGTGTGTCGAGACCGTGTCCTGATGTGATCTGCACGGGTGAGTCACGTCGGCGTCAAAGGAGCGACGTGCGACCTGTCAGAGCTTGATCTCCGATCTCAGCGGCGTCGAGTCGTCTCCGGCGCGCGACAAAGGTACATCCCCAGGACGCGCAGAGGCAGCTGCGACCCAGCGGAGTGGACGGTAACGCGCCGCGCCGCCTGCTGTGCGTTACCGTCCCCTCGGCGGGGTCGCAGCTGCCTCTGGAAGGCACCGAGATGTACCTTTTTCGCGCAATGGTCAAAATCAAGGTTTTGTAACGCGAGCTGTGCCACAGTGAAATGGAACTAGCCGTTGCTTGTGCATGTGCATGTCCAGAAACGGCTGCCGTCTGACGAACTGCGTCTTGATCATTCTCGCAACAAGTTGGAAATTGTAGCGAGTGATCACGCTTTGGCCCGAGACGTAGAGAAAGGCTTCGAGAGCGCGATGCTGAGGCACATGCCAACTCGACGACGATGTGAGCTGCCGAGCCCGACCGCCTGCCGATGTGACGTCCGCGGGCGCTAGCACTGGATCGTCCAAGGAAGCCGGGCGCACGCCGGGCGCAGAGATTGGCGCCACCGTGGTCGTACACAGGATGTCTTCAGCACTCGTAGTGTCCATGCTGTCCGCGTGCGGAGCTCCAGCAGTGGTCATGGCGAGGGCGAGGGCGAGGGCGAGGGCGCGACGGGATAGCCCAAGGAACAGGGCTGCAGGATTCGCGGCGCGAGTGCGGCTCGCTCGAGAACGCCGCTTTTGATCGCACGGGATGGCGATGGTAAAATAAACGCCGCTTTGCAATACTGGAGCGGCGTATCACTAAACGCGACGCCGCTCTGACTACTCGGAGCAGTGACGACCCACCCACACGCTGCTCAACCCCAGGGGCGGGGCTCGCCACGCCGCGCCGCGCGCCACGAGCGATCGTGGATCGCCGTCGACGTCAGGGCATCGCCGTCCCGGCGTCCCAGAGCAGCGTCTATTCAGGGCGACGCCGCTCACGCCATTTAGAGCGGTGTCAGCTTAAAGCAATCGCTGCTCTTACTAGCTAGAGCGGTGTTCACTCAGCAAAGTCCCGCTCTGAAGAGGAGGAGCGGAGGAGAGCGCGACTGAGGGAGGCGAAAGCAGCCTCTCCGCGGAAATTGACCGCTCCCGCTATGTTGAGCGGTGTTGACTGTCTTGACTCCGCTCGAACGTGCTCGGTCGGTGTTTTTCTGAGCAAGAGTCCGCTCTGAAGGTTGCAGAGCGGAGTCTTGTTAGGCAAACGCTGCTCTGTATTGTGTAGAGTGGGGTTTAAGCTTGACGAACGCTGCTCTAGTACCTGCGAGCGGGGTTACTGAGATAGAACGCCGCTCTGAGAGCCGAGAGTGGCGTTGCGCGTTTTACTTTTGGCCCTCAGCCCACAGTGAAATGGAACTAGCCGAGCCGCTCGCCGTCTGATGAGCGGAAGCGGCAGCGAAAGTACGAGGCCGGGAGGAATGCGACGGCAAAATCGCACGAGAGGAAGGAGACAGTGTGCTTGCCGTATTGGGACGCCACGGCGCGGCAAGTCAGTCTCCCTACACCTAGCGCACTCCGTACTCGAGTCTCGCCACGACAACACTCTCTACTATACGGTCCACTGATCAGTCTACTCGACACTCTACTGCTACACGACATCCTCAAAAGCTCATGGATGGCACACACACACATGGATGGGTAGGCCTCGACAGCCCTAGCTCTGTTTCAAAGCCTCACATCGTCTCCTTAAAGGACCTGTCTTTGCCTTGGCCATGGCCGCCCATGCACTGCTGGACAGCCTCCAACACCAAGGAGTCGAGCTCGCGCAGCTTGTAGAGCTGCAGCTCCTTGTCGCTCTGATTGGTGACAGTCACGTCAGGGCTCGCCAGCGTCTCGATGGCCTCATCCACGCTCCGACCTAAAAGCACGCAGCACCTTAGAGAGACCGATGCGTGCGCAAAGCTTATACTAGGCAAGCATACTAGCCTGCCCACATTCGCACGAGCTCGGCGGCCATCAGTCCTGTCGTCCGTCAAAAGTTTCAACACAGCGCGCGCGCCGGAGCGATGGCCAAATTGATGGCCACCGCGCTGGCCGATGGTACGTAGAGAGGAGAGTACGCGCCCGCCTACTCTCGCGAGCAGGTAGCCCAAGCGGCGTCTCCCGAGCCGGGCGATATCTTGAGCACTTGAGCACTGGATAGGGTCGGTTCCGCATGGTACGGGACCCCTCGATCGTCTCGCCCACCCTCACCGGTGTGTTCATTGGGGGGGGTCATAACAAACACGGTACAGGATCGAGGTGCACGCTGCAGAAGCAGTGTCGTCCCCCCTCTCCCCGACGGCGATGGCGGTGTGACCGATCGAGCTACAAGAGGAGCTTGTTCAGCAAGGGCGATATCCATCACTTGTCCCCCTTCATCAACTCTCTCATCAGCTCTGACGGTATCTCGCCGTTGGCCGACTGCGCCTCGCTCCTCAGGACGAGGTTGAGGAAGTCCCCTGGATGCCGCGGTGACGCAATCTCGTCGCTCACCGTAGCGCTTTGGGCCAGCCAGCGCAGCACAGCTCGGGCGCTATCAATCGGGCTCGAGCTTCGGGGACGGGCTCTTCGCGCTTTGTCGAGCGCCGATGAAACGTACGTCCCTCGCGTCGAGGAGAATGCATACATGTACGTCCCCCGCATCCAAAGGCGTTTCGCTATCGCATGCGCAATGCAACCGTTCACTACCATTCACGGCTCAGCATATCTTGGCATATCTGTCAGGCTCATTGGATTCGCCTCATGCTCATGCCCAAGCTGTACTATAGGCCATATTGCGCCGCCTCCTACTGGCAGCCGGGCGGGCGCGCGCCGCGGGCGCCTCGGCGCGCGCACGGCTCGCAAAGTTCGAACGAAGGCTGCCGGGCGGCAGTACTCGCCTCGCAAGGCGCGCACCGGCTGCTCTGGCTGCTGCGCCGGCGGCCGCTGCGCTGGCCGCTGCTGCGCCGGCTGGCGGGCGGTACGGCCGCCGGCGGCCGCTGCACCCGCGCCTTCCCTCGCGGGCGCCGTCGCGCCGCGCGCGCCCAACTCTGCTGGCACACGGCACGCGTCGTCACTCAGCCGCGGAGAACAGGCGGTGCTGTGCGCGAAGCGCGCGCGATCTCGTACATTTAAGGCTGGATCCGGCCATTCCAAGGGTATACCTTTGAGAATCCCCAGCGTCCCACCCTCCTAGTCACAACTCTCAACACAAAAACTCTCTCTCTCTCAACTCTCAATATCTCGACTCTCCAACACGAAGTGCTGCGATCGGGGGTGGCCCATTTCTTTTTCCCTTTCTTTTTTGGGTCCTGTGGGCACCTTACCCGTGGTGCCCCTGGGTCGGGCAACGAGCTACCCCCCCCCCCCCCCCAGGACGGCGCATCGCGCGCGAGTGAGGCCCCGGGGTGGGGCAGGTGAGGGAGGG